GCCCTTCAGTAAAGCCTTCGCCCTTTCGGTGGTATCACCACACAACAAACAGCTAACCACCATCCCCGAACCAAAAGAGCCCAGGATGAGGTTCCCTGGCGAGGCGCATGACGCGTGGAGTGGCTGCGAACCGTAGCATGCCTTACCTTTGACAGAGGCGAGAAAACAGCCGCACGGCACCGCAGCAGCTTGGAATTAGGAAATCCTCTCCGGTGCCCTCGTGTTCTCATTGAACGCAATATGACCGGCCTCCGCTCTCCGACGACAGAGGAGGAGCTATGGGAATAAAAAAAGCTTTTCCAACTGCGCGCACCCCTCTCCCTCACAGCAGCAGCAGCAGCAGCTCTCCCGTCTCGGCTGAGAGGGACAGAGAGACAAAATCACCAGGTTGAAAATACCTTGTTGATGTGGCAGAATACTGTGCTGGGCTGGGCTGACCACGTGAACCGGGTGGTTTAATAATAAAGCCAGGTAAGCTGCAGACAGTGCATCCTTCCCTGCCCGGTTCACGCGGTGGGGGCTTTGGTGATGTTGCATTTTGAGGGAGGAGTTGCCGTGGTTACACAGCAAAGGCACAGTTTCCATAGATTTATTGTAGTCCTCTGATGAAGGAACAGGTCGGTGTGCTTCAGCTCAGCAGCGGATGTGTGTGCATGCCTAGGGTCATTTCAAGGTTAACAGCAAGTGATGCGTCGATTATTCAAATACAACACGTGCAGCATCACTTACAAATGGTACATCTTCACTTTTCTAAACTAGAGTGTAATATTTGAGGTGCAGTGAGTCCCTGGACCCTGCCACATGTTTATTTTTGCACTTTGGTTCTTGCAGCAGGTGAAGTGTATATATAGTATATTAAATAGTGAGCTTTAGAAGTGCTGGTAAGCAGATTCTGTCTTTTACCTTTGGTTGCTCTTGGATCCCAAGACTCAAGAGTAAGTAGAGGTATGGTCAGATCAGGAGGATTAGGTTAGGATGAAGGTCAGGTTCAAAATGAAACAGATGTCACATCCACCAGAATCTAATCCTGAGCCTTGGATTGAACATCAACTGTGTCCAAACTAAATGCTGAGCTAAGCTAACAGACTGAACGCTCTGTAGCTTCGTATTTACTGCACAGACATCAGACTGTATTTGTTTCCTCTAACAGACCAGCAAGAAAGTGAACAGGGGTACATCCCAAACTGTTGAACTGTTCATATTTACATCTGTTAATTTATTGTGTTGGGTTTTGAAGTGGATTAAAACATTAAAAAGGTCACACCTGCTTTTTGGGCCAATTTGCTTCAGTTTGAATAGGTCACTAATATCAAGCCTTCTTCTGAGATCACATCATCCCTGCTTGTCAAAAAAGTGAGCAAGGAAAATGTCTAAGTTCCCCTTTCACCACGAAGGTGTAACCTCCAATCATTATTCCCTATTATTGCACAAATATACTCTGGAGTCCTGTGAGTGAAATGTTGTCACATTCAAGAATCCAGCACTGTTCATTCTGTCACAGTGATCGAGTTTGATCAGCTAACTACATCCATTTCGTACTGGAGCCATCACCACTGGGCATCCTCACCAACCAGTCCCTTAGTTTTTCCACAGAAACAAACTGGTGCCAGCACTTTCACACTGATTAAAACGAATAAACACATACAGTAAGTAGACTATGGTTACTGTCACCGAGCTATCTATCAGCCTGGAGAATTAAAGGGGCATTCCACATTTTACAAGTGAAGTTCGGTTTACTTGGAACAAGGAAATGAGCTATGGCTGAAGTTATTTCTGCTGTGACGCTGGAGGAAGATCTTTAAACTGGGTGAAAAAAATAACCATAGTGATGTCGTCGGGCTTATTAAAGAGGCTCTAATTAAAGACAGCACTACATTGCATTATGGATATCGGTGCTGCTTTGATATTAATGCTTCTTTATAAAAACTGTCTCTTGTGAGTGCCCCAACTTTATACAAGTCTCTTGAAACCCCTAAATTTTAAAGGTAATGAGGATGACATGCCAACAATACGCACCTTTGTCTCTTATTTGTTAAGGGAAAATAACGTGCAAATCAGTGTTGGGATTCATTTCAGCTATTTTAACCCTGTGTAATAAACCCGACCTCAGTGAAATTTGACAGTCCATCAAAAACTAGTTTGACTGTACAAGACACCAGGGCTGTCACAGTGGCTTATTTGTTTGAAATGAGACATTTCTTTGTATGAGAACATGCGTCTGCAGCGCCGCTGTGATCCTGTGACCTCAGCTCTTCAAATTACATCTGTCAATATTTTGGCCCATCAGATGACACAGGCTGTCAGCTCTTTTCCAACAATGCCTCCCATCCACCCGCACAATGACCGCTCCTGATCTGGCCACATTTCCAACATAGAAGTGATGTCTGATCACAGGTCATGTGGGTCGTGGTGGGGAGGGCGAGGGGTTTGTAAGGGGCGATGGTGGCAGCTGTTTTGATTCATCTGAAATCTGTGCAGTGACAAAAACAACAGAAACTTCCATACTGGCTGTCCTCCCACCACCCACACATACACACAGCTCACCCTCGCTTCGGCCCGGCAGCTAAATCCGAGCCTTTGTGCTCTACATAGTTGTAGAGATTTGTCAGCAGTGGGGTGAGGGTAGTGGGGGGCAGATGGTGTGATGATAACCCAGCAAGTTTTCCAGTGAAGAGGGAAGGACAATGGACTGGTGTGAGGTATTGATTTTGCTCTGTCCTGTAGCTGAGGAAAGCAGTGAAATTGGTGAGTCCTAAGATAAACTCTATTTAAGAGGCTCACTCCCAATTGGATGTTGAAAGCCTCATATTTGCAACCCCTACCTCCTCACCACCAGCACCACCACCAAAAAGTCTGTCCAAAGAGGCTTGAACAGGCCACCTGGTCTTTAGGAAAAATTCAGTCAGCAAAACAAAATAGGCACAAACACCAACGGGATGCTCCGAGAGTAGAGAGTCAATCACTGAGGCCTTTAAAATGCTGACTAAACGTATTCCAAAGACAGAAAGTCTGCCTCGGAGTTAGGACACAAAAGCAAGACTGTGAGAAGACAAAGCGGGACAGACCACTCTAGCTGAACACCAGGGGTGATGATGGGAATATTCATTTGAGCAGTAGCAGTTCTGGAGCTGATTAGAAACGAGCACACAGCTTGAAAGTGACTGTGTAAACGTGTAGTGCAGCCAGGATTTCTGAACTGATGTTAACAGTTAAATGTGAAATAAATGTTAAAACTTGACTGCTTCCGTGTACAGTTATAGTCAGGATTATCGGTACAAAGTGGTACCGAGTAATACAATCCATAGCCTCATTTTACACTTGCCTGTATGCTGTAAGCTCTTGTGTCTTACAATAGAACACATGGTCTTAAATAGAATTCCCTGCTGGGGTCATGAGAACATCTGAGGCAAAAATCCAATCAGTCTTTGCCTTTTGTGACCTTACAACACTTAACCACTGCAGGACAACACTACAGAAAGACAAACAGGACAAAGAGTCGCATTGATCAGGTTGTGCCACCCCCTCAGTAGCAGCGGCAACGTGCAGCGTGTCCTTATGACTTTTGCTACTTGGCTGCGTTTAATATCTCCGACTGCGGTCGGGTACATCCAGGAGACGTGGCCACAAAGCAATGAGCAGACACAACCAAACTGCAACAGCAACAGCATTTTGGAAACAAATATTGTACTTTTTACTCCACTACATTTATTTGATAACTTCAGTTACTTTTCAGAATCTGATTAACAGAACAAAATACAGTAAGTATAAGACTTTATTGATGCCTGGTGGGAAATTCACAAGCTACCCATCACTACTTCATGCATATAGTTAAAATAAGATCCGCCTTAGCTGCAACATGAAAAGTAATGTACACAGTAATGCATCAGTAATTACCCATGAATAATATAATATACATCAATGTGAAATGTGCTAATCTGTATAATTAGAACTTTTACTTTTGGTATTTTAAGTATATTTTAATGCTAATACATTGATGATTAAGTACATTTTGATTGTAGGACTTTTACTTGTAACAGAGTATTTTGGCTCAGGGGGTACAGTCACTAACCATAGGTACGGCGGTTCAATTCCCAGCTTCTCCAATCCACGTGTTCTTGGGCAAGACATTGGAACTGAAGTTGTCTCTGGTGATATCACTGGTGTGTGAATGGATGAATGATCAAATAGTGTTGAAGCACTTTCAGCAGGCATCAGGGCATAGAAAGGTGCTGTAGTAGTGTATAAAGGTACTTTCTGTGATGACACAGGGTTCAAGCAAACAACAGCTTGACACTGCAGCATATTTTCTCTGGCTGTTATCCACCACAGAGACATCTGATGTGGAGCAGAACAGCATTGTAAGGCGAATCCTTGTGTCATCAGCCCCACAGATGTGCTGACCTGCTGGGCCTCAGGGATGACTTCTTCGCCCTGAGGCGAAAAAGTACAAAACCAGTGCTGCCTGTCTGGCTGCCACAAGCAAGAAGGACGATGAGGTAACCTGAGCACAAACTCAACGACTGGAAAAAAAAAAAGTCACAAAATATTTCATGATGTCATTAGGAAGGCGAAGGCAGAGCTGTAATCCTATTTTAATCGTAGTGGATTTATTAAACAGGAGCAGCAGGTTTAAATCTCAGCAGATTACACAGAAGGCCCAAGGAGATGTGGGGTGGGGGGTCGGAGAGGCTTACATAATCAAGTGCACTTAAGGTGATATGGCTTATCTTGTCATCTCTGACTGGTCCAGTGTGAGTGAGAGAGTGTCAGATTGTAACCATAAAGTCACTTCATCATCAAGACATGGGGACTTTGTGAAACATAAAACACTCTGCAACTCCCCAGTCTTGCAGAAGAATAGATAGATAGATGGATGGATGGATGGATGGACAACAAACATTTATCATTTTAAGTGAGCTCTTATGTCAAATACTATGTAAGAGGAGTCAAACTATGTTAATTGAAGAGACGTTACTGACAGAGTGACAGACTGATGAGCTCTGGAAAGTTGAAAAACAGATCATGCTTTAAGAATAATGTGTACTTACATGTGTGCTATGTATTTGTGTAACAGGTACAGCTATCACAGTCTGTCAGCTATCTGCAAGTGGCACGTGTATCATTGCTGCCATCTACTGGACAACATATGTATCGTCTTTGTAAATAAAATGTACCTTGATTTGTTTTATAGTCGCCTCCATTGCTCCTTGCTTGTGGAGTTGGGTGGGTCACAACTAAGGATTAGGCAGAATAAACTCTAGACAGGCCTTTGAACAATTTAACTTGTCAGACAGGTGCATCTAATTGCATTAATTAGGGCTTGTTTAGGTGTGCCAGTTGAGCAGCTAGTGTAACAAACACACTGATATTTGAAAATGTACTTAGTAATTACCCCAAGGAGATGCAAAACAACCACAAGAGACACAAAGTAACCACAAAGAGATGCAAAAGAGCTACAGACAGATGCATTACCTGTACCTACTTATTCTTTCAGCTGTTCCCGTTAGGGGTCGCCACAGCAAATCATCTGTTTCCATCTAACTCTATCCTCGGCATCTTCTACTCTCAACCCAGTTAACTTCATGTCCTCTTTTAGCACATCCATATATCTCCTCTTTGGCCTTCCTCTTGACCTCTTGCCTGGCAGCTCCATCTCCAACATCCTTCTACCAATATAACCACTATCCCTCCTCTGCACATGTCCAAACCATCTCAATCTGGCCTCTCTGACCTTGTCCCCAAAACAGCCGACCTCAGCTGTCCCTCTGATGTGCTCATTCCTAATCCTGTCCATCCTGGTCCCTCCTAAACAAAACCTCAACATCCTCATCTCTGCTACCTCCATCTCTGCCTCTTGTCTTTTCCTCACTGCTACAGTCTCTAACCCAGGGGTGACCAATTCCAGTCCTCGAGGGCCGCTGTCCTGCTTGTTTTCCAACTATCCCTGCCTGACCTGCTGCTGATTACCTGGCTCAGGTGTGTTCAGTCAATCAGAAGCTGGAACATACCAATTCACTTTATCTTTCCTCGCTCCGCTTTCATCTAAGATGGTATCTTATCTATCTTAGCTATCTCTGTCTGACCTCATCTGTCAACCTGTCCATCACCATAGCAAACAAGAAGGGACTCAAAGCCGATCCTTGATGTAGCCCCACCTCCACCTTGAACTCCTCTGTCTGACCTACAGCACATCTCACTACTGTCGTACTCCTCTCATACATATCCTGAACTACTCTGATGTACTTCTCTGCCACTCCTGACATCCTTATACAGTACCATAGCTCCTCTCTCGGCAAGCCTATGCATTATCTATGTAATTAGCATGACTTTTTATACCTTTGACGCCGTATTTGTTAGTGGTTTATTTAACGTCGTGTTTAATTTGTTCTGATACTTACAAGGAGTTAAGAAGGTTTTGACTGATGCAGTTTCAAGGACGTTTCATCCACATTAATCATCATTACATCAGCTCTTGTTTCATATGTGTAATAAAGAGCGACGACCAGCAGGGGGCAGAGTAAAAATACCCAGCACGGAGAAGTTTTGACTTTTGACCGGCCTGGCTTCTTCCTCTTCCGGTTACGGCGACATCAGGTATGGCGGCTTCTGCTTTCCTCTAGAGTATCATGTTTTAATAATCCACTGTAATCCTACGATTTACAAGCAGATTGGGTTAATTTTAAGTAAAGCGAAGTCTAAGGACACGACTTTCTTTCCATCTAAGTGATGATTTTATTAGCTAGTGGATTCTGTGGGACACTTAAAATACGGTCCCTGGGACCTTAGATGGCCGCTCTCTCAACACAGTACTAAATGCTTTAAAGGCTGTTGTTAACAGCAACGCTGATAAATAGTATTTTCACACAAGCCAAAGCTACGGAGAAGGTTAATATGAATGAAAACAGTCGGTCTGGTAAATTGGGTCAATGCTTTGATTGCTACCATTTCAGTTAAGCCGGTGTCACCGACATCGATAGCACAGCTAGCACAATTAGCATCCTAGCTTGTCACAAATGTAACGGAGTATCATCTGTTTTCAGCTTCAAGATGGTGCAGCGCCTGACTTACCGTCGTAGGTTGTCCTACAACACCGCTTCCAACAAAACCAGACTGTAAGTGAGCGTTTCGCACCTTCTTTGGTAGATTGTTTTTCTGTGAAGCTGCACAGTTGTTACATTTTTTTTTTGCTGTTGTCTTGTTTGCTTGCAGGTCCCGGACGCCCGGTAACCGTATTGTGTATCTTTACACTAAAAAGGTTGGCAAAGCTCCTAAGTCAGCATGTGGCATCTGCCCAGGAAGACTGCGTGGAGTAAGTGGGGCCCACTGTAAATATATACATATATCTGGGGTGGGGGGGTCTCACGTTATTTGCGAATGGGTGTATTGACGTCAATCAACAAAATCAGTTTTTGTTTGTATAGCTCAGTATCAAAAATATCTGGGGTGGGGGGGTCTCACGTTATTTGCCTTTCCTAGTTTTTGGCTTTAAAAAGGAAAAAGGCCTGTAGTTGAGTGGGCAACTGAAGTGGAAATGAGCTGTGTTCATAAGAACAAACAGAATTGGGAGACTCACAGGTGTTTAAATTGTCAGTTATGGTCAAATAGACCTGCGCCGGGACACACCTGGCTCTACAGATGTAGAAACACTGCATCCCACATGTGGCTCTGGTTGCTTTGCATTCTCCAAGTTAGTGATCTTTGTCCCTGCTGTTTGTCAGAATGTTTCAGCAATAGCATGACGGTATTTTGAGTAATTATGCAACACTGCATAATTTTTGTTTTTGTGGTAACTCAACTGAAATGTCAATACATGACATCAGGTCCTTCTAGTGCCTTAGATTTTGTGTTATCTACTTTATTTCATTTGTATTGTGTGGCATTCATGTGGATGGCAAAGTAAGAAGTTCATTGTACAGGGAAACGCGTTTCCATATTGTGCATATGACAAACACTTTGACTTGACTTCTAGGGGGCATAATTCCATAGATTTGATTTTAAAGGGTGATAACATCAGTTGTAATGTCAGTTCACAAGCTTTGTTTGGTATGATTGTCCCTGCAGGTCTACAGTTTGCAGTTTTATTTGTAAATAGTGAAAGTACATGTAATGATCTGACTTGGGCGTTTGTTTGGAAGTTGATGTTGAACAGTACAACTGAATTGCAAACAGTAAATCTTGCAGCTGGAACTGTCCAGATGTGGCATTTTGAGACCTAAATGCAACTGGCATGTATTTAACCCAAGGCAGTTTAATGATATCAGGGCCTTAAGTATTTGACTCTAAAGTGAGATCTCACAAATGTGCACTGTCAACACAGTGAGCTGCTCATTACCCTAATTGTGAGCAAGTTGTCAGAACAGAAGACGGGGAGGATGAGGAATTTGGATTTCCAAATCCTCAGTCAGTGTTTCCACCTAAAAGAAGTGCACAACAAAGTAAGGGAGACATTTACAGTCAAAATAGGATCAGCTTGCTTATCAAGAATATAATATTTATCATTTTTGTACAGCTGCAGTTGCACAATGACTTGTATGAAATCATAATACAAGCGACATTTGTGGCCAAGAGTTTAAAGGACTGTTGCTTATTTTGTTACTACGTCTTTCAAGGGTGTAGGATGCTTGTACAGCTTGCAACTAAGCAACACACTACATGAGATATGGCAGCGCCAATGCAATTGTCTATCTGTTATTATATTTACTGAGTAGACTTAAGAGTCCACGTTGTGGTTTTATAACTGAATCTGCAATGAGATGCAAATTCCTCAGTCGGTACTTGCTGCCTGCTCTCCCCTCATCAGTGCTGCGTTCTTTGTCTCTCAGATTCGTGCTGTTAGACCTCAGGTTCTGATGAGGCTCTCCAAGACCAAGAAGCATGTTAGTAGGGCTTACGGAGGCTCCATGTGCGCCAAGTGTGTGCGTGACAGGTAAGAGAAATCTTTTTCTTGCTGACAGACTGGAGTGTGATTGTTTGCTTGTGTACAAAGGACTGTTGTGTTGTTGAACTAAGTTGTGAATGCCTAATGCATTAAGTTGTCTTTTCTTATCAGGATCAAGCGTGCTTTCCTTATTGAGGAGCAGAAGATCGTCGTCAAGGTGCTCAAGGCGCAGGCACAGAGCCAGAAGTCAAAGTAAAATGTGTATTTGTATTGCCACAATAAAAAAAAAGACAAATCCATTTCCTGTTGTGATTTTTCAGTGTATTTGAAAACAGGGATTATGTGCAACCAGTGTTTGATCTTTGAAAGCTTTATAACCAGAGGACCTGGTGTGTTAAGAAAGGTTAAGAAAGTAAATTGCAGTTACTTTGAGCATTTGGTGACTAACAGACATGGCTACAACTAACACATGAATTAATCTATTGGTCATGGCAATTAATCGGACAAAATATAACAAAAGGTGGAGAAAGTTCCTGTGACCCAATGATATGTTAATATTGTAAAGGTTGGATCCAATCCTCACATTTCAGAAGCTGCAACCTGCAAAATTTTGACGTTTTCCTGACAAATAAATGATCAGTTGATTATCAAACTGTTGCTGCTCAATTTTGCCAGAACAACAAGGATTAATACATCTCTAAGGTAAGAAAAAGTCAGAGCTGAACGCTACAAACGACATACTGTACTTTGGGTCATTTTTCCATATCTAAAAACTATTTGAAAGGGGGGAAAAGCTTTACACCAATATAACAACGTCATGTTCACAAAATACACTGTGTTATACTGTTTTTACTTTTACTTTACATTGACAGTAAACATGCTATTCACCAGAGAGGGTGTAAAAGTTCTAGATATAAGTGCACTTGTCTACATACAGAAAATACGTAATTAAAATGAAAAATAAAGTTGACTATATTTTTGTTCCAAATTTTAAAATTCGGGAGTCCTGGGTTATTTAAAGTGAAGCAACAAAGGGTTAATTACGGTCCCTTTAAATTGACGTCACGCACAGTATATGCACTAAAATGGAAATTGCATTTAGCTTAAAGTTAATGGAAAGATAATGGAAGTTTTGCTTAAAAAGAGAACTTTAAATAGTAAAACACGGGTAACAAAAATATATGTATACAACTATACATATAAACTAAACTATATCCAACAGAAAAACAACATGTACTTCCGGGACACGTCAACAAAGTCGCTGCACAGACAAGTCCGGGCGACTGCAGCTGTAAAGTCGCTGCACAGACAAGTCCGGGCGGCTGCAGCTGTGCTGATAGGCAGTATTTTTCTCAGCCATGGAGATGCTATACAGTATACCGTTTACTGTTCTTGAATGTCCAAATGTGAAACTGAAGAAACCGTCGTGGCTGCATATGCCGTCGGCTATGACTGTGTATTCGGTCGTTATTGTGTCCTACTTTCTCATCACAGGAGGTAAAGGGATCTGCTAAGCTAACGTTGCTACTAGATAGATAGAGCTATTGTGCTGCATTTACGTTTAATTAGTATATCATTTAATCTCAGGGGGTTTTCATGTGCTGTGGAAATAATGTCAGATACATTACGAGTTGGTTGGCTTTTTAAATGAGCCTGCATGTACACATATCACAGCCAAGCTACGCTTGGATAAGATCGTACACCAGCTGAATGAAACTTAACTTAGACTTGATATGCAAAAGTGGTTAAATCGTACACCAGCTGAATGAAACTTAACAGACTTGATATGCAAAAGTGGTTCAATTGTTCTTCAGAAGTAGCTGAAACCAATTTCTCAAGGAGGTCTAGTAGTAGTAGTTCCATTATATTGAGCATTATCAGCTATTCACAGAGCTCACATCTTGTTATTACTACTACAGGTATAATATACGACGTTATTGTGGAGCCACCGAGTGTGGGCTCAATGACTGACGAGCACGGACACCAGCGGCCCGTTGCCTTTTTGGCATACAGGTATGACAGTCAACACTTAAAGCATAGAAAAAGCAACTAAGTGTTAGTAATGTAAACACAGCCTAACTAATGCAGACGCATTTGCTTTCCAGGGTAAATGGCCAGTACATTATGGAGGGACTGGCCTCCAGTTTCCTGTTCACAATGGGAGGTCTGGGCTTTATAATCCTGGACCGCTCCAACGCGCCAAACATTCCCAAACTCAACCGCTTCCTGTTGCTCTTCATTGGTTTTGTCAGTGTCCTCCTCAGCTTCTTCATGGCCAGAGTGTTCATGCGCATGAAGCTGCCGTGAGTCAAAACTCGTTTCCCACCAAAATGGGGTGTTAGATTCTGCCACTCTGAGCTGTCACTATCTTAAATGTGCTTTTTGTCTTTTCAGAGGATACCTCATGGGCTAAAGGAACATGGACGGATGACTTCAAATATTTGGTGGCCTAACAGGCAGTTCAACTAAAACTACAGATAAACCCAACAGCACTGACAGTCTCACGTTGTCTTCAGTGTTCAGGGACTTCCTTTCTGCTTTCTCCAAATCTCCCATCAAACTGTTAGACAAGACCCTTTCCTGCAGAGTTAGATCAAACACCAGTGAATGCCTTCTATTTTGTACTGGCACGTCATCTTTGCCAATTTTCTCATGTCTCTTTGACACAACCAGAGCAACTATGCAAGAAGGCATTTTTCAGTATATTAAATCTGTAAGAATTTTAATTTTCACTTAAGCAAAAGAAGCTACAAATGACTTGCAGTGGGTGAAATATGTCAGACATGGAGAAGACAAAGGAAGTTGCTGAACACTGCTCCGATGGAGCCACTGATCTGAAATCAAGATCAGCAGAAAGATTGGAGTGTGAAAGATGCTCAAGTTGTTTTTGTAAAGAGAATACCTTGAACCTGACACAGTGGCATTTTTTTGTATGAGGTTGTTAAATAAATGTACTTTTCAGAGCTCAAGAAGTCAAATGTATATAACTGTATCATTAGCATTTAGCATTCATTTCTGCTGCACACATTCACATACATGTGAATGTCAAGAGCAAAACCTGCCAAAGAGCAACATGACTCCAGCTGTTGGAAGGAATGTGTTTAACCTAATCCTAATCATTGGACTGTTTTCACACACAATATCTGTATATGACAGATGTGGATTCTACATAATGTAACGCTCCCTCCAGAAGGTGGCGCCATAGATCTACCAAGTCCACTGAGAGACCACGGCAGCAGTACTGGACCTTTTTGGCACAGTGTCCATAGAGAAGTTAGTTATCCACCTGAGATTTTACTTATTCAAATTTAACATTAAAATAAGCTTCTACATGGTTGTCAATACTGCATGCAGTACACTGCTCATATGCAGTGGACCATGCAGTGACATCAGGTATTCTTGTGAGGGTAGGGAACAACTTTCTGGATGGCAGATGGTGACAAATCACACTTTTTAGCAGTTTCAAGACTGATAAACCAAAGTAAGATACCATGAAAATGCTCATACATATGAAAATATACTTAAAGTACTCATTATGCAGAATGGGACGTTTAATATTGGGTATCATATCATTGGATTATAATTATGGATCACAAGGTTGCAGCTGGTAAAAGTGTAGCTAGTTATAACCAATAACTTAATTACCGCTGGGTAGCTTTTGAATTTCTCACCAGGGTTCAATAAAGTCTGAAAATATACTTGTTTTTTTTGTATAAATCTAGTTCTGAACAGTAAATAAAGTTATAAAATGTAGTGGAGTAAAAGACAATATTTGCCTCTAAAATGTAGTAAAGTCAAAGTATGAAGTAACAGAAGACACTTGTAAAATGTAAACTCAAAATTGTACTTGGGTACCGTACTTGACTAAATGTCACCTCTGCTTGTGCACACATCACCATACTAAGGTTCTATAGACCAAAATAAAAATCTAATTTGGGGGTGGAGAATTCACACATTTAGGTCCAAAGCTTATAGTTACTGATAAAACCAACTTTACGGTCAACAAACGGAGTGCCTGTGCTTTGTCAATATGGGAAATTCACTTTCCAAAGATACAGCATGTATGTACTAAAAACTACAGATAAATCAATGCAGATAGCAAGAAGTCACTGAAATCCATATCACAAGTAATAAAAGTTAAGGAATCTTGCACAACCATCAGGAAAGCTGACAAAGTGTAGTATCTGCAACCCGCAAACACATGAGCTAATTTCACTGATAGTATCAGTCTACACACTGTCAGGGGCATATATAAAATGTCCAACAGCGCTGTGTCTGACAAAATAAAATGCTCTCTGGGGATCTTGTCTGCTTTGCTCTGCTGGCACAATAGCTGGCACTTCACCCCCACTGCATGCATTATGTGGGGCTCCTGTCTGCTCTGTCCACATTATGGAACAGAGTCTGGGACTTTGGCCAACCGTGTCTCCTGAGACCGAGAGCACCTTAATCTTTTATGAGCTCCATAAAGTACTATATCATATTTACAGTACAGTTTATGTCCCTGGGCAGCGATGGAAGGGCCTCTTTTAGACTAAGCACTCTAATGTGCAAGTAACAAGCTGATGGTACATCCAGTCTCTGTTAATACAGAACACAGGAACTTTGGTAAATAATTGCAGGCTTGTGAAACTGCCTGTTTGGATGAGGCATAATAAGATACGATGTAGGCCCATACTCAGTAGGGCTAGTTTTGACTGTCACGTACAGTAGACTCCACATGCACCGGATTCAGGCTGACCCTCCTAGAAGGCAGAGGTCAGGGTCAGGGTCAACAAAGTATGAGTATTTTACTGAGCACAGACTGATTCTGTTATTCCTCATTTACATTCCTCACAGAGCTCTGTGTTTATACTAAAGCCACATAATGACACCATCACGTTTTGACATATACACATTTGAGATTTATTAAAATAACTCCCTGATAATCATGCTCAAGTGAATGTTGGCTAAAATTACATAATAAAATTATTGTAGATAGGTTTTTATGCCAAACAAGTGCTTGATTCCTTCAAGTAATTAAAAATGATACAACCCATCAGATATACAGTACGTTATCATCGAGCATTTTCCACTGGATTACATGCAGGCACTTTTCTCCAGACTCTTATCATCTCTTTATAGTGTCTGTTATCAGTTCTACTGCAGTGCAAAAGTGCAGAGCTGACAATCAGCTTTATGTCTTGATATGTTTGGCTTGTTGAAGAACTCCGTGACTGCTTCCTCGGCTGTGAACTAAACCACGGTGATCCTCAAATCCGTTTTCATCAGTCGAAAGCTTGGAATAAACAATAACAGAGTTTAAATGAAAGAGAGGAAAATGTAGATATTTGTTGTAGCTGTAAAACACACAGTTGTTAATTGTATAGAGCGGCAAGAAAGAGTATGTAAATCCTTTGGAATGATTTGATCTTTATCTAAGTATAAAAATGTGCCTCACAAACAGTAATAAGCTAACAACAAGACAACTTCAAAGGTTTTGTGCAACTACTTATGGAGACAAATAACAAGAGACTCGACGACATGACCAGAGAAATACAGGAGATAAAAACGAGTTTGCAGTTTACCCAGCGAGATGTGGATGTGATTAAAGCAGCCATGGGTGAACAGAAAATACAAACCAAGGAAACAAGGGATGATGTCTACAAAACTTGTGAGAGTTTAATAGCCATAACAGATAAAATTGAGCATTTGGAAGTACAGTCCAAGCGAAGAAACCTG